AGATCTGAAGCCATGAAGAAGAGACTGTGGTTGGAACTGGTGTTTATTTGTCCCTGAGATCCTAAAGCCCAATTTCTTTCCATTTCCTGTGACCACCCCACCCCACCCCCCCCCCCACAAATGCCTCTAGATTCTCCCAGAACTGTGTGTATTTTAGGCCTGGTACCAGCATTTAAAGTAACTTATCCTGAGTGTTTAAAACCCACAATGTGAAAAATGTTCTCCTGTTGTTTGACTTGAAGCTATCACTTTGAAACATGGAGATTTAAAGGAAGTGGGAAGGAGTGGGTATTGGGGAGACAAGCTTAAGAGAGGAAGTGGATGAACTAAAACACTTCTGGGAGACCCGAACTTGAGCTCCCGCTCTCTCCTTCTAGAATTTACTATTGTTCTGGAGAGATTCCTTGCTTATGTTGAAGCAGATCTGCTTTGTTAAATTGTTAAGTTTGCAAGAAGCTTCAGTTTGCATCTATTCCTTCGGAATGTTTATTCTAATAAGTGACTATAGTGACTGGAGTCTTTGGTCGCTACAGAATATCTAACAATTAAAGAGGGATATGGAAATTCATATTTTCCCTTTGTGTAAAGGTATTTTCATAATCTAACATTCATGTTTACAGGATATAATATATATATATGTATATATATATATATATATATATATTACATATAGTTTTGGAAAAATATGATGACTTCCTTTCCATTGAAGTCATTTAGGGCTGACTGTTGGTGTGTACAACTTATAAAATTGTATTTGGTTATGCAATGAATGTACAGGCTACCGACCACACAACAACCCAAGGTCATTTTACACTCAAAATAAAAAATTGCCTTGGCCCTTCCCATAGATTAATCTCTGAAGTGATTTATTGGTCATTAATAACTCAGTACTTAGACAGAAGTCAGAGGTCAGGGTGCTGCAACCAAGAAAGGAGCCTTCTCCTGATTGAGCTGAGGAGGCTGAGGCATTCTGGGGAGAAATAAACGCACAGTTCTAGATCCCGCACACGCTCTGATACCTCCTTCTCCACAGTTTCACTGTTAGCATCCTGACTCAGGTTCCAAACGTCTCCATACCAAACTCTGCACCTCTGGTTGAGCGCCATTGCATTCTGTATGCCCAAACTTTCGGTCTCTATTACCTGCTCCAGAGTAGAGTGTAAAAGTGACATCTAAGGACACAGTCAGTGCCCCTCTCCTCCCAGCCCCAACTCCTGGGCGTTTCCTGACTCCAGCTCACCTCAACTTGGCCATGTTTCTCTTCAGGTGGCTTTGCTCTTCCGTGTGTCTAAAACAGCCTCCGTCCTCTCCGATCATCCCCTGGATTTTAGCTTGCTAAGCCTCAGTCTTCCTTTTGAGACTTTCCGAAGTACTCTCCTCTACCTAATCAAAGAGAGCTGAGGTTGCTGACCACACCCTGCAGCCCTCAACATTTGAAGAGGCTCAAGCAACCTGGAGAGTTTATGACTTGCCCAAGGTCACACGTCTAGTTAGGTTAGTAGTGTCACCAAGACTTAAAATTGAGGTCTTGTAACCCACATCCTTTCCACACATAGCGACTGCTATCTAAACCATCCAAGTAGCAGACATTTTTCCTGTGATAATATTCATAAATATTCAACCCAGAAATGCCTGAGTTACTTCTGGATGGCTCTTTCCTTTCAGATGCAAATAAAAATGGCGGCAGGATCTCCACCTTAGTATTTCTATGTACCCAAGAAAGAAAAAGTAATGAGTTGCCTCATGTCTTCCTGCCACTTCCTGTTCCAAATTTCTGTCGCTTGCCTCACAGTCTCAGTCTTATCCTAAGACTAGAAAAGTACTTTTTCCTTCACTCCTGCAAAGCCACTGCTGTTGACAGATTTTGATGGATGGCTTGGGGTGATCAAGGGACAGAGCAATGCAGCCCAGGCTGGATCACAGCTTAAAATTGTTACTTCAGCTCCTCACCTTACTTCTTTCCAAGGTGATTTGTGGGGTAGCTGGAGCCGCGCATCCTCACAGCCCAGCATAAGGTCAATGTGTTTACTGTGCATCTTTTTCACTTTAAAAATTAATATAGCATCACTGTGCAGAATGACTTGAAGTCGGAGAGAGGGTAAAAACAGAAAATGGGCATCGATGGCATGGCTGAGCCTTTTCCTGTCAGGCACCACTCTGGCCATTAACGTCACTTAATTCTCGCCACAGCCGTGCCAAGTAGATCTTTTCTACTTTCCTTTTAGTCTCTCAGCTGGCAAGTGACAGATCCAGAATTCAAACTTAGAACTCTCTGACCCTAAGGTCCCTGAAGTGCCTAGCCAGATGACCATGCCAATGGTCTTTGTAGAAGAATATTGAATAAAGACAGAAATAACATGGGAAAGGCAGCCACAGCCTCTGACCAATGCAACCCAGACAGAATCCTCCTACTTGGGGATACTCGGTTGTACCCATGGTGAGCGAGGTGATATTCAGAACACACTGAGGTTTCAAACCCCCTAGAGCATGGCAGGAAGAATTGTCAAGGAGAGACGCTAAGGAGCTAGTGGGAGGGGTGACTTAGGCCATGATGGGCCGAGGTACTGAATGGGTGTGAGACTTTCCTTTCATATCTACAGCTCAAAGCTATGTGACTTTTACATAAACTCCGAGGACACTCCCACCTAAGCAAGCTGGGCATCCTCCAGTCACTTGGTTTTTATAACCCAAGAAGGGCAACGTGTTCCTTAGACTCTCACCGAGAGCTCTCTGGAAAGCTTTTATTTATTCCTCTTGCCCATGAGTGGGCATGGGGGCAGGTGTCTGGTTTTTGTTACAGGGTAGGAGAGCCATTACGCCTTCACTCATGTGGAGGAAGAAATGCTGAGTGTGAACTAAGATCACATCACATCCAAACAGAAGACTGTGTGGCACTTTTCTTGTTCAAAAGTTGTTAAGTGTGGCAATCCTTGCTCTGCTCCAGCCAAACATTTTCTTAGCCATATTAGGTTATATGGACATAAGCCAACATCGTGGCTGATGTATGCGTAGGACTTCTGACTTTTTTTTTAGAATTTTTTTTTTTTTTTACTGGTTGAAAAGGAATGGAGACAAATGTGGCTCAGAGCAGATCTTGAAATGTGGCTGGAAAATGAAAACTCGCTGCTGTGAAAAGAATTAGATGGAGCAGCTGAGAGCAGTATCCGATTTTTTAAGATGAGAGGCATGGAGAAATGTGGATCTATTTGTCTCCTATGGAAAGGATGGAACAATGTATTAGGAGCTTAGCCAAACCTAGTATGGTTAGGAGAGAGGAGATTAGGAAAAGATCACACCCACTAAGCTCAAAATTCTCTTATTACCTAGTCTCCGGGGCTAGAAAACTAACGTGAGTTCTGCATCCGAGACATTCTGAGTGATTGGAAACCCACTAACCAGTGATTAGACTGCAGCTAACCTCATTGTCTGTCCAAGGGGGATGATGTGCCATCTCTGTTGGGTTCTTCTGAGAATCAAAGGAGATAATGCCTGGTCTCAACAATCTCAGTGAAAGCATGTTGACATGCCTCCCATCCCGTCCTGTCCAAGCTACAAGTTGTAACAGCAGAGAAAATAGCTTTCAGGTTTTACCCCGAGCTGCCTTTCGTACTTTGCACATTCTGCTTTGACAGCTAATAAATATTCATCCGTCTACACCATGTGTTGACTACTTAGCAAGTGCCAGGATCTTAATGAATATCTTGTTTGCACATATATGATCAACTCATGAAGTCTCCCATTGTCTTATCAGAAAGTCTTTAGAAATAAGTTGACAATAGCCATTCATTCATTCCATATACGTGCATTTTTTTGAATGACTACTATGAATAATTATATGGCAGGCATCTGCAAAACACTGAAGAATTAGTAATAAGTAAACCAGACACATCCTTTAGAGCTTTCAGTCTTGTGGAAAAAAACAAAACAAAACAAAAGCAGGTATGGTTTGAAATGTCCCCTACAGGCTTATGTGTTCGAATAACTGAGAAGTGGTGGAGGCTTTGGGACAGAAGACCTGACTAGTGGATGTAGATCACTAGGGGCACCTTGGAGAGTTGTTAGCCCAGCCATCAGTCTGGTCCTCTCTCTGCTTCCTGATTTGCTCAAGATGTGAGAAGTAACAACTGCAAGCTCCCCACCTTGGGCCAAGGTGCTCCACCAGCCTTTCTGCGCCATGCTGGTACAATCACCTCAAACCATGAGCCAAAATATAGCCTTCCCCTTCAAGTTCCTTCTGCAGGTGTTTGTCCCAACAATGAGAAAAGCAATGGCAAACATGAGCATCACTGTCATTTTTGATTATCCATGAGGACAAGTGATAAGTCCTGGAAGAGAGAATAACACCGAGATTAAACCTTGAGACCCCGTGTTTCTATGGCTACAATATTTAGTTTACTATGTTCTGGTGATAGGTGTATAGGATTCTTAAACCTTTATCACTGGTCTTGTGACAGTGCTTGAACACAAAAATTAGTGTTTTCTGGGTGTTATATTTCCTATTCAAAGGTTGTTAGTAGACTTGTGAACCTCGTAGATCTAAAGGTTAAGATTATACAAATAATATGCATGTGATTCTCAAGAGGTAGTGTGGGGAGATGGTTTCTATCTTAAAGGACACCATGCCCCAAGCTGTGTGGCCTAAAAGAGGTGGATCCATGCAAGACATTGAGGGAGCTAATGCAACTAGGTCACAACTGAATAGCACCCGAGGAAACAGATAGGTAGGCAGAGCTAGGTAATAACTAACCTAACAGGTCATAGGTCACAGGGAAGGTTCATATCTGAAGTCTGCATGCACTATGAAACTAGTGAAATGTTTCCAGCAGGGCAGTTGATGTGACTGGGTGAATGTTTTTTACGAAGGTAATTGTTTACAGATGGTCAGAAAATTAGAACAGAGACCTGTTAGGAGGCTCCTGGAATGGCTAATATAGAATGATGGTGGTTTGGATTACAGTGGATGCAATGGTGATGAAGATAAATGGACCATTTCAAGCTAATATCCTAAAAGGAGAATCATGAGCCTTTAGTCGTTCGCTGTAGGAGGCGTGTTGGGGACAGGGTGGCGAGGAAGAAGGAAGTGTCTGGAAAGGCTCCCATGTCCAGAGCCTGAGCCGCCAGATGAATGTCGGTGCCGTTCGCCGAGATGAGAAGAACACGGGACCATGTTCAGTTGTCTTCTACTTCCTTTGAGAAGAGGGGGCCGTGATGGATGGTTGTGAGTTGCAGAGAAGCAGGCATATAAAGCCTGATCTTTGTCTGTTGGTTTAAAACCACTGCTGACACTTTCTTTTGTTTGTTTGGATTTGTTGTTGTTGTTGTTGTTGTTGTTGTTTTCCGAGACAGGGCTTTTCTGTATAGCTTTTGAGTCTGTCCTGGAACTCCTGTAGACCAGGCTGGCCTCCAACTCACAGAGATCTGCCTGGCTCTGCTTCCCAAGTGCTGGGATTAAAGGCGTGTGCCAACACTGCCAGCCTGTTGACACTTTCTTATGAGGCTTTCAAAACAGGGCCTCTGCTGTGATGCTCTGAACCATTGCACTCCCAAAACTGACTCTCTGCCCTCTCCCCTCTGTGTGCCTACACACAGGGTGCTTGGCTTTAATCACTTAATCTGTACATTTTAAAATCATCTCAGTTTTAAGAACCGAGTCTTTTTGTTTTGGCTCTCTATAGCATGGGATAACAACTATTTTCTACAACAAGTTGGATACTTTTCAAAGTAACTAGAGAGAGCAAAAACTCCAACACATGGAAATGATTGATGTTTTAGGAGCTGGAAGAGCTTGGTACCTGATTATATGATTATATACTGTGTATATCAAATTATCATACTTTGTACTATGCATGTGTATAAATATGATATCTCAATGAAAAAGTACAAAAACATAGATCCTGAGAACAAAACAGTTAACACAAGAGTAAAGGAATAGATGTATGTATAGCCAATGAAAGAAAAATTCTGAAATAAACCTACTAAGTTAGAAAAATAAAGGTTTTTAAAAGTCAAGTTTTTAAAGGCAACTTACCCCCTATCCTCTCCCATACCCCCTTGAAACTTCTATATTCTTTTTTTTTTTTTTTTTTTTTTTGGTTTTTCGAGACAGGGTTTCTCTGTGTAGCTTTGCGCCTTTCCTGGAACTCACTTGGTAGCCCAGGCTGGCCTCGAACTCACAGAGATCCGCCTGGCTCTGCCTCCCGAGTGCTGGGATTAAAGGCCTGCACCACCAACGCCCGGCGAAACTTCTATATTCTTGTTAGTGGATGGGTGATACCAGAAGCCTTTGCTATTTTGTCTTACTATTACTTGTTCTAACTCAATGCCAAAGGTTTGGGAGGCATCACAATTAATGTTCTAACCCCCTCCAATTGTCTATTTGGAAATAGAAAGAATTTACAGAAAGGAACACGATCAGTTAGAACCTCAAGAGAGTCACTATTAGAACACACTGCCGTGTTTAACCACCCAAAAAGCAATAGATTTACTAATAAAGATTTATATATAAAGAAATGCATAAAACATTACTACAATAGCCTAATCCTGAGATATTCTCGGTGCCTAGCAGTAGAGGAAAGGGGACATGAAGCATGAATGTGTTAAACATACTAGTGAATGGCCTAGGAAAAACATCTATGAGGAGAGCTAAAGAGCTTAATATAGAACATGTAAAATTTGACTTTAAATAGAATTGCTTCCTACACATATGCCTGCACATTGTGAGTTTTCCATAATGAGATGCATATTTATATATTTTCTATAATAAAATATATGCCTTTTGTCATATTCAGAGATAGATAGGGCCATACAGATCTTATTGCAACCCTTTTTTAGTAGTGAAATAGAAAGGAGTCTTGAAAGAATGTCAGTTATTTATTCCATCAAAAATGAATCCCTGAGCTAGGCATGTAACCCAGCTGGTAGAGTGCCTGATGCATGAAGCCTTGGCTTCCATCTCCAGTACTCTATGAACATGGGGTGATGGTACACACCTACAATCCCAGCACTCAGAAAGTGGAATCAAAGTGTTGTGGAATAGTATTTTAAGATGTGTTCCATTTGTGCTGTGGAACATTGGTTTAATGATCCAAAGTTGTGTTGCATTCTCTCATGTTGCATTTGTTTAACTCTGTGAAGCTGTGTTACTGTGCCTATCTAAAACACCTGATGGTCTAATAAAGAGCTGAAGAGATAACAGCGGCAGGAGAAAGGACAAGTGAGACTGGCAGGAAGAGAATAAGAAGGATAAAAATCTGGGAAGAGAGCATCAGGAATCGAAAAAGAGGAGAGGAAGACTCCAGGGGCCATCTACTCAGCTACACAGGAAGCTATGGAGAAAGACATAAAGAATGGTATAGAGAAAGATAAAATCCTAAAGACAAAAGGTAGACAGGCTAATTTAAGTAAGGAAAGCTGGCTAGAAACAAGCCAAGCTAAGGCCAGGCATTTATAGTAAGAATAAACCTCCATGTATTTATTTGGGAGCTGGGTGATTCTCCCCCCAACCCCGAAAAGAGCCAAAGAGTAAAAGAATTTAAAAAAAAAAAAACTACAGTGAAGGATCTTGAATTCAAGGTCATCCTAGTCCAAAAGTCCAAAGCTAGCCTGTGCTATATGAGGCACTGTCACAAAAAAATAAATAAATAAAAATTGCCAGGTGGCATGGCACACTCCTTTAATCCCAACACTCAGGAGGCAGAGCCAGGTGGATCTCTGTGAATTCAAGTCCAGCCTGGTCTACAGAGGGAGATCCAGGACAGGCACCAAAACTACACAAAGAAACCCTGTCTCAAAAAACCAAAAACCAAAAACCAACCAACCAACCAAACAAACAAACAAAAAAAAACCAATTAATTATTAACTACTGTGTGAGTTACCTGGAGATATAAAGCTGCATGCAGATGTGATTAGTCATGTATGAACATTATGATCAAATTTCTGCCTCCCTGGATTTCCCTTCTCTGGGAGCAAACAGCCCAAAGCCTTGTCAGGACAACTTTGATTTTCAGCTCTGTACTTTTTTCTTTTGAAACATGTTAGGATTTGGAAGTGCAAAAACCAGAGAGGAAGAGAAAATACTCTAGAATAACCAAAGTGCCTGAGCGTCCTCAATCACTTAAATTTGGAGAGAACTCAATGTTTCCTCCTTCTTACCCCTCCCACACTCTTCTAGCATATTCCACTTCAAGCATCTATAGCTCTACTCAAGGCTCTGGGATAGAATTTGTATTTGAGCTTAGTTTTCTTAAGGTATTCACAATCCTTTTGTTTTTCCAGTAATTTATCACAATTACATTGTGGTTTAAATATATAAGAACCATGATCTTGTCTCTAAAAGAACATTCAAAACTTTTCCTTGTGGGGTGTGAGACATGACTTCAGTCTCATATACCAGTTCCATTCAGGCTATTGTTATGTCCACTTCTCTTCTAGCTGTGTCTGCATCTGCCATGGGGTCCATTGCAAAATGCTTTTTATTAATTAGTTGATCTTTTTCATTTAATTTAATCAACTCAAGTCTAAACGTTGAACCTAATGAGAGTCTGTTGGTGTTTTGCTGGCAAAGGAATAAAGAAACCATTACATTTCAAAATGCTATCCTATGGACATACTGTGAGGTGTTCATTTTAGATATTAACGTAGAAATGGGTTTCATTGGCTCATCTATATCTGCATGCCATCGTTCACTTGGTTAAAAACGTATTTTGGGTCAGCAAGATAGCCCAATGGGTTAAAATGCTTACAGCTTGCCATGCACCCCTGGTGACCTGAATTCAATTTCTGGAACTATAGTAAAGGAGAGAACTTCCTTCTGAAAGCTGTATTCTGGCATCCACACATGTGCCACAGCACAGGCATGCTCACATTCACATAACACACACACACACACACACACACACACACACACACACACACACACACACACACACACATATACTTTAGAATTTATTTTTTTAATTATATGTTTATGCTTATGTGTGGTTTGTTCATGTATATGCAATGCCCACAGAGGCCAGAAGAGGGCACTGGATTCCTCAAAGCTGGAATTACAGGCAGTTGCGAGTCATTTCATCTGGGTGTTAGGAACAGAATTTGGGTCTTCTTCAAAAGTAGCGTATATCCTTAACCACTGAGCCATCTCTCCAGCAATAATAGTAGCAATATTAATAATAATAATAACAATTATTTATTTATTTATTTAAAAAACCATTTACATTTTTAAGAAAGATAGCTGTTTGGTTTTAAGTTGGGACTATAAGAGATTAAAGCTTGGATACTGTTCACATCTTATCATTTAGCTAGTGGAATTACCAATAAAAAGATTGGCACCAGACCTCAGTAAGAGATGGCTGGACACTTGGAATCAGCTTCATTCTGGTTGTAGGAAGGACACTGGATAATGATGTTTTCATCTGGATCTAAAAAGGGACAAGGATCAGCATCTGGAGTCTTCGTCTGATACACACTGAGCAACTAATATGTGCTCAGAGTCATGCACAGCTCTGGGGAATGCAGAAACGAATGTGACGTAAGTAGGTTAATACTTATTTCCCCGTGGAAGTCAACACTAGCTGTGTGAGAGCAGGGAGCTCACCTCTCTCCGCCCCTGCTGTCTTTAGCGAGTTCCATTTAGTGGCTGGAAGTCCAGTCCAAGCGAGACTTGACTCTGTCTTGTAACATAGGGAGAGTACAAGGTCTGTTGTTAAATTGTTTAATCCCAAGGATCAGTCTTCAGGTATAAAACCCAGAGTCGGGCATTTTTCCTCCACACAGAAAACAACGATGCAATCAAGTGAAAGTCAAGTTTATAGGATAATTTTGAGTCTTTTTCAATCACGTGGAACCTTGCATTTCTGATGACATGTGTCACACATGACTTCTGCTGGGGATTTCACATGGAAAACACCTCACTGGAGACCTGTTCTGGCATTCGAGTGCCTTGAGGCCAGGGCAGGTGTGGAGAGTACCCACCACTTGGTCCACTCCCTGCCCCCCTCCATGTGATTACTGAAAAGACAAGCCAAACTTGAGAAATCACAGAGCATTTAACTCTTAGCTATTTTGAAAATATTTAGATGGTGATAGTGATTAGGAATCAAGAAATGAACTGATTCCATAACTAGAAACAGAGGTTGTGATCTGTCCCCAAACATCAGGCAGCCAGCTTTTGCTAAGTGAACTTGGTTGACAAGTGGTCAAGGCAGAATGACATTCTATAAAAGAAAAGATTTAGGAGCTGGAGAGATGGCTCAGTTGGTAAAACATTTACATATAAGCATGAGAGAACCTGAGTTTGGATCCTCAGCATCCATGCCCCCCCCACACACACACACACAAAAAATCAATGCTGAGACAAGTAAATCCTTAGAGCTTGCTAGCCAGTCAGGCTATCCAAATCAGCGAGCTCCAAGTTAGGTGATAGACCCTGCCTCAAAACAAGGTTCAGCGAGACTGAGGAAAGCAGTATCAACCTCTGGCCTCTGCACATGTACATCCCCATCCTACCCACACCCCACACCCCCTCACACACACACAAGGCAGGGGAACAGATTTATAATGCAACTCTTCCCACTGCCAGCTGAGAAGACTTGGGCAAATCATTTAGTCTCTGTTGACCTTCCTAGACCCCATCATAAAATGCTTCCAGTAATATTTTGGAGTTGCCATTAAAATCCCTTGAGAAAGGGTGTGCTGGCTAGTTTTATGTCGACTTGACATAAGCTAGAGTCATTTGAGAAGCGGGAACCTCAGTTGAGAAATGACCACACCATATTGGCCTGTGGTGCATATTTTCTTGATTGATAATATAAATGGGAGGAGGACCCAGCTCACTGTGGGCAGTGCCACCCCTGGGCTGGTGGTCCTGGGTGCTATAAGAAAGCAGGCTGGCCGGGCAGTGGTGGCGCACGCCTTTAATCCCAGCACTCGGGAGGCAGAGCCAGGCGGATCTCTGTGAGTTCGAGGCCAGCCTGGGCTACCA